GACTAATGGGCTGGTAACATATATAGCATGGATATGCCAGACAAAGAGATGATTTATGTCCGAGGAGGGACAGTGCAAGATTTCTAAAGTCTAAAAGCAAGATTTCATGCAGTCTAAAACCTGTGAATAGAAGGCTACTATGTATTGTCAGTCAATTTTTTTTAATATATTAAAATTTGATATATATATTTAGAGTAAACAATTAAGCTGAATATTTTTTAAAATTTTTTGCTACATATTTCTTAATCAAAACAATTAACAATTTTGTAATTTTCATTTGAACTTATTTTAAAATTTTATATATAACAATTCAAAACAGGTGCCAAGTCACCTCTGAGGTAGAAATTTCAGTTTATACAGATGATGTATACTTATAAGATGGCAATGTTTTCAATATTAATTCATATAAATTTATAATGAAAAATTTAATTTTACAAATTATACTTTTATTAAAGTAATTTTGAAAAATTCCATTAAAAAAACATTCTTTAAACACATTTGTGATGTTGAGAAAAAAAACAACATATTTCAGTCAGATGTGTCAATGTTCTCGTCATGTAATTAATATAATTTAAACTATAATTTTTAAAGTATTATTATTTTCTTGTAAACTGTTGTTATTAATTATGGTTTTTCCATTCTGTTTTTTTAAATAAACATAATAAATACATTTGGGACTCGATAAATGACATTTTGGACTCAGAATATGCTCTGACTCGTAATCTATCAAATTAATGCATTTTGACAGAGCTGAGTAAAATATCTGTTTTGTACTTAATTTTAATGCATGTTTGACATCATATGAAAGTGAATGTCTTGCATCTAAAGTTAAAGGATTATTAATTGCTATACATGTCACAACCATTGACATTCGGAGCACCAGTTGGCTAAGGTGGCAGCCAATTGTTCTCAGTGAGCCACCCCAGAAATTTTTCAGACAATCTGGAATGTGTTGGTCTCGCTGTCGAACCATCCCATTCTCAGCCTGGCCAAAAACTCATAACGCCAGAAATAAAAAAGGAAAAATACAAGTGTTAAAGATGGAAAACCAAACAAATTTGATTAGAGTGAAATATGAAGCTTTTGTGTGAAAAGCACAATTGGGGTCCAGCCTGTTACAATTGGGACAGGACAGAGTGCAGTATATATTTTATTAGCAAATTCATAGTAATATGGCTTTAATGATATAAATTGATATCCAAATACACACAAATCCTAAGTCGTATTTACCATTGAAAATGAATATGCATACAGTTTTTGTACTTCTGTTTGCATTTCAATGAGCTGCTCATTTTTTTATATGAATAGAAGCAATGCTGTTTCTATTTTGTTTTTAAAAATATTTCTATCACCATTTCTGAATTGTGTGAAGTTTTGTGCATTATGTGTCAGAGTTTCATAATGAAAAAGAATTCTTTGTCAAATAGAAGAAAATCTGAGAGATAGGATCCAATTTTGCAAAGATGCAAAGAAAATTTTAAAAAAAGTAAAATTTGATTTATGAGAGGAAAAAAGTATATAATGCAAATTTATTTTGTTTTGGTAGAATTTTTTTATTCTTTGGTCAGTAGATACAATAAGATACAAAGTTTACTATATAATAAAATTGTATAACTAGTTTATTAACATGCTACAAATGAATAACTGACATCAAAATAAAATTGTTATGGAATGCATATTTTTGAAAGTGGTTTGATGGAAAGATTCCAATATATATATAAAACTTTCCTGTAATACTTAGTAAATAGGATTATTTTGTTAATGTTTTGCATATTTGAGTTATAAAAATCAGTAAGACAATTTATATTTTATTATATCATGAAAATAGAGGATAAAGTGTGCATTGTACTGTTGTTCACATGCTCAAATATTTTAGTATTATATTTATAAGTAAATTTAAATTAGCAATTTTATGAAACCGGAAATCTTTTCTTTGTTCAAATTTTCTTCTTCTGTGCAATAAAATGAAAAATATAAAATTTTATATTCAAAATATTAAAAAAAGGTTAAAATTCTATTAATAAAATTATTATTAAAGGAAAAAAAAGAAGTATGTGCCTTTTGCTGGTATTTGATAAAAAATCTTGCAATTTATTATGATTTAAAATATTTATATTTAAATAGAATTGACACAGATATTATATATATATATTTGTCATTGATATTATCAAATGTTTATAGTTTTAACAAATAATTTGTAAGAAAAATTGCACTTTTTTTGTTGTTCTAAGTATTAATTAATAAACTGAATACTTTGAAAATGCTATTTAGATATAAGTTAATATTTTTAGGGTATGGATTGTATATGATAATCCATTTATAATTAAAATAGTGATTTGTAGAAGAGACTTTAGGGATGTGCTCTGTTATCACTTAACTTCTATTTTTTCATTTATCTTATTTATTGAATTTTGTATCATAATTTATTAAACTTTCCATTACTGATATTTCCTTTTTTATACATATATAAAAATGATTTATAATATATAAATTTAATTAAATATTTATTGTAATAATATATTTAAAAGAAGACACACTTTTATCATTTATTTGAATAAACATCACCAATGAGAAAAAAATGTAATTGTTTATAATGAATGTGTATTAAATAAAAGTAATCTTTTTTATAAGAAAAACAAAACTGGTGTTTTGTGAATGTTTGTTGTTAAAATTAGGGGTAAAGCGAAGATGCTGAAAAATTTATTAGCTTTACATTAATGTTTTCAGCCTAATGTGTGGGCCATGCTCTGGCACAGATGATAACCTTAATCTGTGTCCTCTGATGACTGATTTTTGGATCATCAGTTACAAGCCATTTCAAAATACAGCACTAGAACACCAAACTTTACACTCAAATATGTAAAGAACAAAAAAATAAAATTCTGACATAAATGTAGCAAAAACTCTAAAGTAAAGTTAAATTCTAACAAAAGTGAAATGAAATACAATTCTAGTTCTATTTTTATATTTTTTTATATTTAAGACTGTAATCCTCAACATTGGCGCTGAACACTGAAAAAAATTGAAATGCATGTACTGTACAGTCAACCCCCTATAACACTGTTGATTATTCTGTTTTATATGAATTCCATGTTGTATGAGTTACTTAGAATTTACAAATACATGTGCCGATCTGTGAATGGCTCACGTATTTGTAAAATCTAAGTTACTCATGCAACATGGAATTCATATAAAACGGAACAACGAACAGTGTTATACGGGGGATAAATGTATTAATCCAAGAGATGCAGACAGTTTACCATCAGCATGGAAGTTTATTGTAAAAAATAAACTTTATAGAAACACTTAGTTAAAGTTACATTTGCTAAGATATATTTTAAATTATCAACCAATTTTATCGTAGATTCTTCAGTTTATGATATCTGAGAGAGTACTGTATTGTAAAAGCCCTTTTTTACACTATATTCTTCTTTAAGTGTAACTCCCAAGTTTCTTTTGGTGACTCCAATATAATTTTTCTTTATTCCTACTTGCATGTTTTCATAGTGTGTATACAAGATAGCATAGAAAACAGGTGTGTACAAGATACCAGATACTGGTACCTTGTACACACCTGTTTTCTCCTCTTAATGTATCTTTGTCATTCAGCAATATACTGTAAATATTTGGCACTTGTTTGAAAATTAGAACTTGTTTAGAGTAGCAATTCCCAAACTTTTTCAAGCCACTGCCTCCTTGGTGTTCCATACACTTATATCTAATGCCCCTAACCATTTACCCTTGCAAGAGAAATGCTTGAAAATATTCTTAGAAATGCTAGCATTTCTACAAACCTCACACTTTGTGTCATTACCATATACAGTATTGTTCTCCACATCTGCTAACAATTAGATGCAATGTTCTTACCCTTTTTAATAGAGAAACAAGAAAGGTCAGTGACCCCAACCCTCACCTATGGTCACTGTTCAGTCAGGATCCTGTCTTAAGCACCCCTATCACCCACTTATTTCTTTTCATCCCCTATGTTTACTCACCACCTATAGGGAGGCAGTAGTGTCAATTGCATTTGCAATTGCAACCATTGTTTTAAAGCCTTTACAATCTGCCATTTCTTTCATAATGTTCTTCATGTTCTTCTTAAAAGTGAACTTTGCCATTGTATTCAGTCTCCTGTTTTGAGTTTTTGGTCTGCTTCCTTCATAGTTTCTAATCAGTCCTGTTATCGTGATAATTTTGTATCTCAGGGTTTTGGCCATTTCTTTAATTCCATTAAGTACCCTTATTCCGTCATGGACTGTACACTACTGCAATATAAATATGCTCTTCTAACGAGTGCCCGGAATGTTGCCAGTTTGTATCGATATGGATCATTCGAATTAGATGGGATGTAGAATGGATTGTGCGCTTGGTTTAATGTATAGACTAAAGACTAAATTTCCTCTTAAATTCGATGTTTATGCCTAAAAAATATATCTTAATGAATTCTTCTGTTCCATCGTCAGTTTCAGCCCATCCTTGTTAGTATTACCTTATCCAGAAATTCAATAACTCTTATCATTTGGAAAAATAACATCGTATACTTATCTTTTAAAATACTGTACACTATATCTGCCATGAATCATTAAGAATATTTTTCTCCAGTTTTCGCAATACCAGTTCACACAACAATCCTGATACTGGACTCCCCATGGGGGTCCAGTACAAAAGAAAGGGGTTCCCATGGGGACCCCTTTCTTTTGTACACCTGGTGGTTAAAACTAAAAAATTATTCATAACACTAAGTTGGCTAACTCTAACATCCTTAGAATAATTAATTCCAGGATCTGAAGGAACATAACTCCATTAGCGCTTAAAAACATGATTCTATTATTCTATTCTCGAGAGCTTATATCTTTCTATCGAAAGATATAAGCTCTCGAGAATAGAATAATATCTTTCTATCGAGAATAATATCTTTCTATCGAGAAGCTTATATCTTTCTATCGAAAGATATAAGCTTCGAGAGCTATAGAAAGATATAAGCTCTCGAAGTCACTTACGGTTCCGGCCCACCAGTGGCCAAGCGGTCTTCGTATCCTAAATACTGGGAGTTCGGTAATGGGTTCGCGCCTTGCTCGGAACACGCTGGCCAAGTAGAGTATTTTGGGTTTTCTCTACGTCTGTAATGCCTAGATAGGGGCCAGTTTCCCTTAAAAAGACCTCCCGGAAGGCATCCCCCTAGGCGGATCGCTCAAGTGTTGCGTTGCTATAACTTAATTGATGATGAAATTGGAACCATAATTGTTTAACAGTAGGTCACGTAACTCAACACTTTTCCTGTGCCTTGTGCAATCAATATACAGGTATACCTCGCCTTACGTCGGTAATTGGTTCCAGGAAAACGACGTAAGTCGAAAAACGACGTAAGTCGAGGTATGCCTGTACTATTCTCTAATCCTAGTGATGAACCCATACAATCGTTTCTCCAGAATGTATGTCGGCCTCTTGCATTTTTCTATTACTTGTCTAACTTCTGTTTCTTCCTTATGCATTTTAGCGAATGCAAACAATTTTGGCATACCCGGTCTTGGGTTTCGACATCCATCGCGACTTGCCGCCGACCGAGTTTTAATTTGCATAAATTTGAACTTTTGTTATTCTGGATGACATTTTGAATAAAATTCATTTGTTTCCATGCAATTTTATTCTTATAAGCATAAAATTAAGCCGTAAAATAGCTAGGTGGAGTTTGATCCATCGACCCGGAAGTTTCGCCGGCACCTCACTTATAACGAGAGAAGCTTAAGTTTAAAATTCGATCTTTCTAGACCATGTAGTTTTCTGTAGGGGCATCTGCCATGCCGAAAGAAGAAAGAAACACAGCTGTTTGGCGGCTTTTTACACTTTTCGATTGCTTATATTTCGACAACCCCTCTACGGAAAAATCTGAAATGTTGCACACTACATAAAAAAAGAATTATCTTCCGAACGAAATATTCAGAATTACTGTAGGCGTTTGGGGGGACGGAGAAATCCACCCCGGCCACTCTGATTCCTGTATATGTAGTCAATTACGCTTGGCACCTGAGCCAAATGGTAAATACCACGCCCTTTTGAATACATTTACTAATTCTATTCCTGTGCTTTGAGAGTTAGGAAATAGAACGGCTGGCTTTACGACGGTTTTCTTGAAACCAATTAGGCGGTAAGACGGAGATGTATTATATCTGTGTGTAAATAACGTGCGATTTTTAATAATAACTTACGTATTGTGAATTAACAAACTAAAAATCATAATAATTGAGTTGTAAACTGATAAAGAATTACATAATAATAAATCACTCGTGGCAATATTCCTATTGATAAAAGAGCAGAAAGTTTATCATCTTCGATTGCTAGTTTTTACTAATTTAACAAATACAACAAATAGTTCATTGCTAAATTTCATAGAACTTCGATCATTCTGTAGAATATGGATAAAGAAGAAGGATCCAAGTCTAACAAATCTCAAATTTCCAAAGCGAATTCGAGGAAAATTTCTGGAAAATCTGGCAAAATTGTTGATTTGAAAGTAAATAACAGCAATAATACTAACCTTACAAAATCTATTCACAATCTATCTGATACAGTTTATACGACACAGGAAAATAGAAGACTCAGCAGTGAAGATTTCTTAGTAGAATCAATTAGATCCATTCGAGAATCTGGAACTAACGGTTCAAGAGCTTCGATAGGCAATGTTCTTACTGAATCACCTGAAGTAATTACAAAATCAGGAAGGAAACGGAAGTTAGGCAATTCTACTTATCCTTCAAACTATGCCGTAATAAATGAAAATGTAGATCAACGCAAAGAAACCTATCGTGTGCCCCTTCCTTCAAAAGAAGGATACAAGGCTACAAAACAGGAATGGACCAGAAGATACGATCTAGATGACTCGAAAAATATCCAATTAACAAAGGAAAACAAAAATCAAATCGATGTTAAACTATCAAAAGGTGGTATGAGAGAGGATGAAGGACCATCTGTGATGAGTGAAACTGAATTGGTAACTGATGGCCTTCAAGTTTTACTCTTCGATTCATTAGACAACGATCAGGAGAACGTGGATTTGTTATCAAAATTGTCTCGGGTGATGGAATCGACTTGCGTGAATCCTGAAGATATATCAAGAATCGGTGATTGGATAATTAAAAAAGGAAACGTTGCTGAGAAGTACAATAATAAGAGTAAAGCGCTTATGAAAAGGGTGAAGAAGATTTTAAATGAGAATTACCACTTAAGAAAAAATATCCAGAAATTGGAGAAGAGGGCTGATGTTCTGCAGAATGAAATAAACACTCATCCAATAAAACAAGAAATCTTGGAGATGAGGAACGGAATTCAGGAATACAGATCGAAGTTGAAGAATTTGAGCGCCAGCTTTACGAAAATCGAAGGACAAATTCACAATTTACGGAAGGATACAAGCAAAGAGTATCAAAAAGGTCTTAAAATTGCGGAAGATACGAGTAAATTTGTGGACCAGTTAAGAACTGAAAATGAAAATATGGAGAATTTTACGGAAGATTTTAAAAATAATGCCTCCGATGTCAGAGATATATTGCTAGAGAGAATGGATTCATCTCAGAAATCTATTCAAAAACTAGATAAATTAAAAAATATATTTAGAGTTACTCTCGATGAAAACAAGAAGGAAATAAGTGAATTGAACGATGAATACGTACTACAGAATATTATATGCAACATCAGGAAAGATATAGAGGAATTAAAGCAAAATTTAAATACTTTTCGAATGAAAACGAAAGATTTAGAAGGGAAATCACGGATTACAATGGACAAAGTTCGAATTTTAGAACAGGAATCTGTTAAGCTCATTCATAATTTCCAGTTTATCTATGACAATTTGCCAAAACAAAGCATTCAGAAGGACGCCATTACTTCAACCATGCAAGAGATGTTCAACAAACTGAAGAACGAAAGACGAAACGTAGAAAGAACGGGAACGGAAATTAAGAAATTGGAATCGGAAATTCAATCAAAAATTAAAAGAGAGAAATGGAAAATCGTAGAAAAACCACAAAAATTACAGAATTTGCAACGGGATCAAGATATCTGGGATACAAAAATGAATCGAATATTCGAATTATTCGAGCAGATGGAAACTATGAAGGAAGACATCAGAGTTGAGGAAATTGAAAACATGCAAGAGAGGAAGGAATTTCTTAAACAATTCCATTATGAAGAGGAACAAGGACTGTATACTGAAGATAAGTTGGATATTACAAATCGAATGATATGCAGCGAAGTAACTGACTTGGGAGTTTGCACGATTAGTGAGCTCGATTCAGCAACAAAAGCGAATTTATTGAGGAAAGTAGACTTAGCAGAAACCAAAGAATTTCAGCAGAATATAAAGAATTCATTGCAAGTAGGATTTCGGGATATGAAATTTATTCCAGAATCGGATGAAAATTATCTATCCGGTACTTACGGAAAGCTTGCAACAAGCGAAGCTTTCAACATTTAATGTTGATGTAACGGAACATTCAATTTCTATCGTTTATAATAAATATAATACGATGAACGTAAATATTATTAGTTTTCTATTTTATGGTTCCTGCTATAATAAGGCTCCGCTGTACGCATCAAATCAGCTTGTTCAAAGGCTTGGAAGTGAAAATATAGTAGGCTTTGGGTCTTTCAAGTAATCGCCTAATATCAAATTACAACCGTTATTGCGTAGAATATTTGCAAGACAGCTATTGTTTGCTTCAAACACAGAACACTGGTAGTTGATCGGGAATTTGCTCCTCAACAACAGGCTGGCATGTGAAGTTTTCCTTTTATTTTATATTATTTCACGTTCCTAACACACAAATAAGGGCTAGTTTAACTAGAAGACCTTTCAGTAGGAACTCCTTTTTTGGCACATGGTTCTTGCGTTGTTCCATTAATCCTATATTCCTACTATTGTTTACTTACTCACCTAAGCATTTTCCTCGAATTATCAAAACATATGGGGTTGCTTATATAGAGTTAATTTTATAGTAGTTGATCGTGACATCGTCAGATACAACGACCATAAGGCATGAAATACCATTGCTTTCCCCTATTAGTTCGTTATATCGAGGATCAGCTGAAATGAATTTAATTACTATCAAAGTTTAAACTTTCACTTTTAAACAGTAAGTTATAAAATAAAAATATCCAGTAACGAGTTGCGTAACTTTCCCGGCTGTTATGAATTTTATTTTAAAAATACTTCGAACGCAAAATCGGACAAATATTTGCCTTGGAGTCCGAACGATGCTTCGAAGTTCGGACTGCCGGGTGATATGCACGACATGCTTTTTATCCGAACACATTACAACTGTTATAATTAAATCATGCATCTATAATAATATGCCGAAGTCAATAGTATGAGACAAAAACATGCCATTTTCATTTTATTATACAGTATTTATTTTATTTATGGTTTTTGTGTTTTAATTTATTATTATTATTATTCGTGCATTTAATTCTGTTATTTTTACCGATAAATTATGTGAATTTTCTGTTTTAAATTTATCGAAATGTTCGGGGTCTGGTAAGGAATTAATTCGCTTTCTTTAATGGGAAAAATTCATTCGAACTTTGAACAACTGTTCGAACGACGACCACCCAAAATGAATTAAATTCGAAGGACGAGGCACCATTGTATATTATTGTATGTGATTCTGTTATCCGATTTTGTTTGTGAACGCGACAGGCGTAACTACTGACTATACTGGCATTTAAAGAAAAATAGATCTTTCACTCACCGTTCACATATTTCTAATTCCTTAACTCCAATTTCTTCCGTAAATAACATGGTTCGGGTGATTCTTTAGTAAATTCATCCTTTTCCATCGTAGAAACTTTTTCCGCATTACAGTATTAACACACGTCTACATTCTTCAACATTTTCGGATTTATTGTAACTTACTTTTGGGGTTGAGGTACAATTTCTAGCTCTCTTCAAACTGAAACACGTCCCGCTCCTGGATAAACCTTACTCGTATACTAAACAAACAGGTCGAAACGTTCTCCTGGTCTTTTTTTCCTTTTGCTCACATCAATCTCGACAATTCTTTCCAGGTCCACCAATTTTCATTCGAGGCAAATTAGTTTATGAAACCATCATAATGTGTAGTATGAAATTCGCCCAGTCAACAGCTGTTCGACCACTCACGCCCACAACCGATCAGCTCAAGCTGAACGTGCTGTACATTCTATGCAAATTAGATGCCAAATAAACAAAAAATTCCCCAAGAAATTTTCCCAAATTATATTTAAA